AATGCTTAGTATACGCACTTTTTCACTTTTCTACAACACCACAAAAGTGGAGTTAAGATCAGTCTTATGACCTGCTTCAATTATGTGTTTGGCAATAGAGGATGATGGATGTTTAGCCTCTACTCTTATTGAATCATTTGATTTTATTTGTTTCTTAAGTCATTAAAGTACATGTTCACACACCCTAATTTTAGATCACGATTACTCCTCCCCATATATGTGTGGCTATACACACATTTAAATTGGTAAGCACAGTGGGATGTGATGCAAACGTTCTCATGTCTTTTAGGTTTTCGATGAAGCATCGACCTTGTTCATTCCTTTGCTATCTAATACGTATTGTTAATAACTGATTTAAGCCTTTGATTCAATAATAGGCTATTTGAATAACTTCTAGATGGTAAGGTGATGTAGACAGGCCTTTTTTCTGCCAAGGCTATAGTAGTTCTCACTATAACATGAACTTTCCAGCCATTTCTAGTCTAGTTGACTTTTTATTTTTATATATAAATGTTCTTAACAGGTATATGTGTGATCAGATTGTTTAAAATGTATTGCACTAATATATCTTATAGTTCTGATAATCTTTGTCTTCTTATTACACTATCGAAAGTAGATTTATGTATCGTAATTCCGATGGTGGTAAGTGTTCATTAAATTCACTTCAGTGAATTTTCTCCCAGCTGGATGTTTTTTCTAATTCCAGTCATCATGAGTAAATATTGTACAGTCTGATGCAGTTTCACTTTACGGTTACCTAAGGCGTAGCGAAGGTTTCTCTTGAGAAGTATACTAAAAGTATCGTTTTGTAGCAACTTATGGTGTTTGGAAAATAAATATTTAATTGATATATCGTCATTTTGCAAAAGAACTATTCAACGAAATAAGGTTTTATTTCTAATGTTAGTTGAGAATACCAATTACATTGTTCACTCAATAGTGTGATCAATTCAATAATCAAATACTTTTCACAATACAGTTACCAAAGCAATCTATTGTATAAAATAAATGTATGCTCATCTATTATATTACTTATTGTGTTTTACAGTAAATATTACGTTTATAATAGAATGTAAATGTTAGCAGTGACCACTGTACAAATTGAATCTATTTTTGGTAGGCATAGTGACTATTCAATAAGAGATTGTATATTTTTAAAAATAAAGTCAAGTTTCATAAGCCTATTCTACTTATTACAAACAATTTAAGACAATTATTTATACATAATTATCCATAGAAAACAAAGCCTATGACCTAAAGAAGTCAAAATCTACCTTAATGATGTTGTTTTTCCGAAAAAAAGAATATTTTTTGGGATGAATGTAAATAGATTCAAATGTTAACACAATATAAAAATAATATTTATTTGAAGACACGTTGATATCAAGCGGGAAGTTACTGAAAATCATGGAACGCTAAACGTTTGGTAAATCGTATTTATGAACTCATCTGTACATGTATAGTCACACTCCATCAAGCCCACTAGTGACGAGTATAATAAGTGTATTATAGGATTCTGATTCGATAGTCTATAGATGTACCCTATTCGAGGCCTAAGGATTATCGGTTTTACACCGCGTGACACTATTTTTAAGTTTAGCTGAGAAGTTTTTTCAACGACAAAAGAACATGTGTCCTGTGCTTTCTGATTTCCAATGGTTTCCAGGCTGATGTCAGCCCGTGACGCAATTCATCCTGAAATAACTATTAATTTATTTACTATGTTTACCTTTCAATCTATCAACAAAAGTAACCTGTCGTATTATTATGTATTGTTTTGTATGATATTTACTACCCATCTGTAACTAAACAACACGTTGAATTGATTTCCAAAAGATCTTTTATCATTAAATGAGATCAGTTACAGGATTCTTAAAAAGTTAAAAACCCTAGAAAATTACCAAACAAAAGGTGCTTATATCCTGCTGCTGTAACCATAGAATCCAGTGATTCGATGAGAATCTACATTCTACATCATTCACTTTAATAAACTGATCGTGATTTTGTAATAATGAAGTTACTAAAGATTTTCCAACTTAAGCCAAACTGTTATGAAAACTATATTTATACTGAATAACATACTTGGATCTTCTATCACACCACTAATGAGTTTTGACATTTTAACATATGAATACTTAGATTACTTGTGTAGTGAACAGAACACGAGAGGGGATAATCGAATGTATTTAACGCAAAATTATAGGACTTGTTAATAAAACCTAACAATCATAAAGTAAATTTCTAATATCATTGTCGAAATTTATGAAAGGGACTAATTGTTTTAAATTCCATAAAGTAAATGCTTAATTTGCAAAATGTCCACCAATTGTCTCAAAATGACTCAGACTTCATTGCTCTTGTATTTCCATACAAATTGCATCCTGTTTCTATTCTTTACTGTTCTATCTTCTTGTCTCTCTGCTGCCAGACCTTCTGTTCACGACTGACATCATACACTACTTATGTCAATATAAGTAGCACACACTACAGAACTATCTTGACGTTCGTATTAAAGATTCTGACTTTGATATCGGTTGACAGTTGTTTTGAGTTCCACATGTTCTTCAAATGTAGGAATGCTGTTCTTACTTTGCCAATCCTTGCCTTCACTTCTGCATCAGACCCTCCTTGTTCATCGATGATGCTAACCAGATACGTGAAAGATTCCACCTCCACATTTTATTCAGGAAGATTTGTGAGGAAGTACAAGTGCCGACAGACTAGAGAGATAGATACCTCATCAGGATGCCAAAGTAAGAAGATTCGAACAAGTGTGAGAACTACAAATGCATCAAACTTCTATCGGTAGCGTGGAAATTTTTCAACAGGGTGAAAGATTCAGTAGACGTTCAACTTCGGGATCAACAAGCTGGATTCCGTAAAGAAAGGCTGTGCACAGACCAAAACGTGACACTACAGATCATCACTGAACAATCACTTGAATGGAACTTGTCACCATACATCAGCTTCATTGATTATCAGAAGGCGTTTGAAAACGTGGATAGGAGAACATTATAGAAACTTCCTCGACACTATGAATTGGGTAGCTGAGAAAATCCTCAACATCACGCGGAATTCATATGACCGACTACAGTATAAAGTGGTTCATGGAGAACAGCTGACAGACCGACTTCAAGAAAGGACCGGAGTCAGACAAGGCTGTCTACTTTCTCCTTTCTCTTTTTTCTGGTACTTGAGTGGATTATGAAGACCTCAACATCTAAGGGGAAGCACAGAATAAAATGGACAGGTTGGAGGAAACTAGATGAGTTGGACTTCACAGACAACCTAACTCTTCACTCTCGTACACACCAACGAATGCAGGTCAAGACAAACAATGTAGCAGCAGCCTCAGCATCAGTAGGCCTCAACATACAAAAGGGAAAAAGCGAGATCCTCAAATGTAACACAGAGAACACCAACCCAATCACACTTGATCGAGAAGCTCTAGAAGAGGTAGAATCTTTCACGTGTCTGGGTAGCATCATCGATGAACAAGGAGGGTCTGATGCAGAATTGAAGGCAAGGATTGGCAAAGTAAGAACAGCATTCCTACATTTGAAGAACATGTGGAACTCAAAACAACTGTCAACCGATATCAAAGTCAGAATCTTTAATTCTAACGTCAAGATAGTCCTACTGTACGAAACTGAAACTTTGAGAACTACCACAACCATCATAAAAATGTACAGGTATTTATAAACAATTGTCTACGTAAAGCACTGAATGTCCATTGGCCGGATACCGTCAGAAGCAGCCTGATATAGGAGGGAACAAGCCAACTTCTAGCTGAAGAGGAAATTAGAAAAAGACGTTGGAAGTGGATAGGACACACATTGAGGAAATCATTAAACTGTATCACGAGGCAAGCGCTATCTTGGAATTCTGAAGGGAAACGAAAAATAGGAAGGCCGATGAAGACACTGCGTCGGGAATTGTAAGCAAACATGGAAAGAGTGAATAGCAACTGGAAAGAACTGGAAAGGATTGCCCAGGACAGAGTTGGATGGAGAACGTTGGTGAGCGGCTTGCGCTCCCCCATGAGGGTAACAGGCGTAAGTAATGAAGTAATTAGGAAACGATAAATTTGACCAATATGAAAAGAAACCCAAACTTTTAACAAAGTGTTTGCGAACATTATGTGTACAAATATTCGAATATGGACAAAAGCATTGCTAGCTATGATATTGAACAGAAAAGTAGGGCTGAATCGAGAATAACGAAATGTATTGTGTCTAGTACCATTCCTACTTATTCCACGACTGACACCTTCATCTATGGATAAAGAGGAATTTCAAATCAATAAATTTTATACAATTTCTACAAATGAGTAAAAATTACATCACAAAAGTGAAAAATGAATTAAAATCCATCAGATAAAAGATCACAAATGTATTTCAAATTTGACAATAATAAAACTAATTAATTAAAATCATAAAGATAATAAGTTCATGAACAATTCATTTATACAGTTAGACCGATTTGTGAATACACCAACATGATCAGGAAATAAATAGTTTCAGATGAAGTCATGATTCATTTTCTTTATATTAAACTCATATTTCAATGATATGATAGAGTACATATTCGTCGATCATCATTTATGATTTAAGCGAATCCACGAACCAAATAAAATAAAATGAATTCTGCTATTCTACTAAAATTTTTGTTCTTGCTCTTTTCAATATAATTTCCATTTGGGATTTCATTTTAATTATCTGAATTTATTCATATATATTTCATCTATGATCATGCTACTGCAACACATCTCAACGCACATGAAGAAAAAAATAAAGTGAATTTTCATGCTTGCGATAAGATCCTTAATGAAAATTATGTTTTTGATAGACAACATTCACCCAATAAATATATGAAAAAGAAATGCTTGGAAATCGTTTATATCACACAAACGTTAGGCACTGAGAAATGAATACCTAACCTCATCTATCAAAATGTACATCCAAACACATTCAGTTTATAGCATCAGCTCCCTCAAGATTACATGTACACCTTGCTGACGAGTGGCAAGTAGCACGAAACCCGGGTCCAGGGTTTCCTGTCGACTACCCCCAACCACCATCTAATATTAATGTATTAATTTAATTAACAAGTATATTTCTTTATACACAAACAGTCGAACTGTATCTCTTTTAAAATTTGATTGATGTCTACATAAAGATATATTGAAAAAGTTTTCCTTTACCATAGTAAAATTACTTTTATCTTTTGAGATCTTCTTTTATTTCAATTGTATCACCTTTAATTCATTTCACATTCTTATTTTTATAATATAGCTCACAGATTCTTGTTATTTCTATTAATCAATAATCCATATTTAACTATTTTATTATATAATCAGTCAGCTTTTAAGTATCTAGTGTTTTATGACCACTTTTCATGTCATACAATCTTCTCTTGTACATAATACTTACTTAGGGTTTCTTTTTTTTCGATCTTATTAACTTTGTCTAAATATTTTCATATTTATGATAGTACATATTCATTTCTAAGTATGTACAATTTTAATTTTAGTAAATTATAATAAGTTGTAAGGAGGTTACAGTAATCTGACGAATTGAAATGAATTTATATAGTTCGTCTTAAATCTCTGTTTTTTTTAATCATATTTCTGTTAAATTCCTTTCATTTCAGTAAAGCTACGAGTAAACCATTCCATCAATAATGAAGTCAACGTAAACTATTAGACATTTATGAATTATCCATATAAGTAAATAATTCATCATAAAGGGTTAGATATAAACTAAACACTTCTAAAACATTCGGCTAATAAACTCTGAACATTTGAACAGTTCAGTACAACACTGTGCAACAAGTGGTCGATTCCAGTGAAATACTAAGTTAATTGATTTGAATCATTGTTCTCAAAAGCCGGAGTGAACATCAATTCTGAGATGAAGGTTCATCCAACTGATAAGTTCCAAATAGGACGAAACGCGCATCCTCGATTCCACTGCTAGCCATTATGCATTTTTGTTTAGAAAACTTGTGACAGTTTAAGTGAATCTGATTAAGAATGATGCATCCGTTGGGCTGGATTATGTGATGTGCAGAGATTTCATTACCATTCTATACAGCTTTATCATTGTCATCGTCAAATAACTGAATATTATTGGAACTCAATAAATTTGACCAGTGTGGAAAGGAACCCAAACTTTTAACAAAGTGTTTGCGAACATTATGTGTACAAATATTCGAATATGGACAAAAGCATTGCTAGCTATGATATTGAACAGAAAAGTAGGGCTGAATCGAGAATAACGAAATGTATTGTGTCTAGTACCATTCCTACTTATTCCACGACTGACACCTTCATCTATGGAAAAAGAGGAATTTCAAATCAATAAATTTTATACAATTTCTACAAATGAGTAAAAATTACATCACAAAAGTGAAAAATGAATTAAAATCCATCAGATAAAAGATCACAAATGTATTTCAAATTTGACAATAATAAAACTAACTAATTAAAATCATAAATTCAATTATACAGTGAAAATGTCATGTAAATTTTGGAGGGTCCTTGGAGGTGCTTGACATAAATGTCTATTCATTCTTAAGCTTTTTTTACAAAAAAGAAACATAATGAAAATATAAAAATATAAATATAAAATCAAATCAACATTTACAAGTGTACCTGTTTTTTTTTCTACTAGGTTATCAAATAATCGGAAATTTACGATTTTCACAACTATTCTCTCTCCATTGATTTACATCTTTATACCAATAAGGTCGTTCCAAGTTATCAATTTCATGCGCCAGCATACATAGTCGACAATCAGTGAATGTATTAAAATCAACTGTTCCATGGTTATGCCAATTAAAGTATTCATTATAAGCAGTTTTATTGTTGTCTAGATAGTACAAATAATCCGCTAATTGTTTGACAGAATTAAAATCATCTACATGAATAAAAGAATTTGATGGAGCTGACCTTACATATTCTGATTTTGATGCACCCATTACGATTGGAACAACAGTATTTCTAAAATACAATATATTATTAGAGCTATTAATTATTCTATCATAAAGTAGCGTAAACTATTAGTGGTTTGAGAAATTTAATTGAAAAATGAGGATTGTTAGACAAGTGCTCTGGTAAAACAATTACATTCCTGATCACTTCAGACTCATAAGCCTATAATAATTATTTATTGGAATATTTGAAATAGAAAGGGTTGCTAGAGTACAAGTTTAGTTACAGGCGATCATCATAATTACTTGTAGTACAACTACTAACGTAAAGAGTTTGGTATAGTTTAATGTAATCTGCATAATTAATTTCCTAATAATTTGAATATAAAACAGTTTGGATGAGAAACATGTTTATGAAACAACAATCCAATGAAATTTACTTTCATTATTTACTCAGTAGTTGCCTCATCAAGATGCATTCTCCTTTAAATATGTAGTCAATCGACGAGATATGATTTTTCCTACTTTTTGACAGGAAGATTCGTTGAGATTGATAAAAGATATTGTAAATAGTCATCTAAAGATATCAACGCAATTTCTTCAGCCTAAACAACAATGTGAATTGATACATCGTTAAAAATGTCAATGATCTTCACAATTAAATTTCAAATGTATTCAATATTCATTTATCACAAGTAAATTAAAGCCATAACTCAGTATGATCTGTTTCATAACTTTATTTCTATTAAATTTAATAGCTTTTATTTCAATAACACGTTTTCTATAACATGGGAGTTCTAGATATATGTATAAAGGAAAAACGATATTTTTCCCTATCAAAGAAACTATACTGAATGTAAGCTAAACTGATGATACTTGTGCAACGACATAAATCATGTTAATAAGATACTTGAAAATTTCAACTTAGTCTATTCCAACATGAAATTCACAATCGAACATAAAGGAAAGGATAACATCTGTTCCCTGGGTCTAGATGTCATGGAAGAAGTGACGAAACCTATTAAACATTCATGTGTCGGAAAAAAAACATGGAGTGGCCAAAATAATTTTTGCCTAGTCACTTACACTTATCGGTTGGTGAGAACGCTGTACCACAAAGCCAGAAAGTTGTGCCAAGTTGCCAAGTAGTCGCTAGTTGAATACCATCCTTTCGGATCAGGCTGTTCTTGCTCATCCATATATACAGCGCTTCTGTTGTCAATCTTTCTTTATGAGTGTTAAAACCTTATCAAGGTATCTCGCAAATATCCGATGAGAATTAATTGGACCCTTTCTTTATTCAACCTGTTTATTTCGCATGCATCGTTATTTTGACTGAAATTAATGTGGGTTATTTTAGCAATACAATTATGTATTTGATGATTCTTATTTGACATGCACATCAATGATTCAGAAACAATTTTTTCAACCTTTAACTTGAATTTTTTATTTTTCCTTTATATAAAAACATTAACATCTAATATCAACTATTAATAACTCAATCTTACACATACATAAATACACATAATTCGCTCAGTCATTTATTTTCACATCGTGAACTTTTGACATGACTCACATTTAACTGACTCATGTTATCCTATTTATTAAAATCAACATCCAAATATGATTGGATTAACACAGTATAGATTTGATTGTTAAAACGCTATATATATTTCTTTGATGATTTTGACTTTGATTATTACACTGAAGAAGTCCAGACACGTTAGCTGGACGAAACGTTGGAATGATTTATTTAAATTTCAATCACTGAGATTATTCCAAATATAATTTTTTACATATGATGACTTCTCTATACTCGGCGCCTAATTTCTGTTAAACGATTCATTCTAATTTTGACGAATATTCGTATAAATAAATAATATTTATATTTACAATTTCAAAAGAAAAAAAATCTTACTTAAGAGCATTTAGAAAGAACTTTTCAGTAATATAATCTTGACAGATACTATTCTCAAAACTGAGATAGAATTTATAATCATTTTTCAATGATTCAAAACACTTGCTATTATATTTATCACAAATTAGATCTCCACATGCACCATAGATATCAACCTATTTGAAATATAACAATAAAGAGTTAATAATATAATGCACAACAATTAATGTTCAATCGTTTATAATGAGTTAATGATTTCTTTTAAAAAAATACTTGTAATGGCTTAGCTTCGTCAATCAATCGCCTTTGTAACCGTTAATATATAAACCCCAATGGTGTTTGAAATCAGAGGGTAATAAGAAGCGGCGACTACAGATAACTAAGCTACAATCACATAGAGTGAATTTCATGCAGAGAGGCGAATATGTGTATGTGAGCGAATACAGAGGCAAATTTATAGTCAAATCGAATCAAGGCGCAGATAGGAAAGACAATGGCTAATAGTAGGATTCGAGTACATTTATGCACGGGGAAGAGAATGATTTATCGAACGATATTTAGACTGCCAACATTTTAGCTAGAGTCTGTTGTGCGATCAAGCGTACACGTTTATACAGATATGATAGTAACCACAATAGTACAGAGAAAAATGCGAATTGTTATTGTTTGAACAACCATAATTGAAACTGATTGTAGGAAAGCCGCTATATACTCGAGATAAATTTTTATCAATCGGATTATCTATTGATGTTTTATACGAATTAACATACACTGTTAAACAAATGTACAACAAGATAATACACAATAAAGAAGCATCTATTGGCACTTGACCTATAAAATTAGAAGAGAATACTTCAATTAATGATTCTTAATTAGGCCCATTAAAATACTTTTTATAATAGTCCATATTATACGGAAAAAATTCATTGTAATCTTAGCAACAAAACAGTCACAACGTATATTAAATACATCCAAGACAGTTATAGTTTATACACCTTATCTAAAAATTATCACCGCATGTTAGCGGGACATAGATTTGATTAAAGCATGCTCGATGCACCATTCCGTTGGCGCACGCTGATTGGCTAATTATTATCCAATCAGCACTAGCCGATACTTGGAGAATACTCTGGAAATCTTCTCATGTAAAAACTATAAATATACTAACGCTTTTCCTATTGGGCTTCTTACTTCCATCTAACCTTGTTATTTGGAATATAATCTATTTCCTGTTCAACCGTGTTTTGATTTGGGGACTTATCGAGTGAATTGGTGTCCGAGACTACTAAGCAATAGGAATAGCTGAGTTATAACTGAGACAGAATTATAACACCACCACCTCAAGGTGATAGTTACATTTCTACATTAAGTCATGATTATATGCTGAACAAGTTGCTTGCTAAATTGTTTAATCCTAATTCAAACCCATGAACAAGTAATGATTAACTGTTGTGTCCTTCTTATGAATTTGAAGAACTGATAAACTATTTCTCAAAGTTGCTTGTTTTAGCATCATCATTCAAATACGTTATCTAAAGATCATCATTTTCTATATAAATGACAATATGTGCATGATGGAATGTAAAAGAACGTTTACAACTTCAAATGTGACTATAGGTACAATGTTATTGTTTATTTTTAAAGAAATACTACAAGCTAATACAAAAATTATTCTTATTAGAAAACGTGTTAATCATTATACATGAACTGCTAACGCTATTAACTATACCAATATGATCAATAATTAGATTGTCCACACTTACTGATTATTTTTTTAGTGGCTAATTTGCCAAACATAAGACTTTTCGGACAATAAGGATAATAGCCTAACTTCTTGAAGTAGAAGTTGATGATGTTGTCTACAATGACAACGAAAACTTTGTAATTAATGTATCGACTTCACAACATCAACAAACATATAAGCTTAGTTTTCATATCTAATCTATCATGTTTTAATATTGACTTAATATTCTAATTTACTTTCAGTTTATTTTCTGCATTACGTATTTATCAATTGTTCTTTTTGCACGCTTAAATCCAGAACAAATACAATGATCTTACTCAAATATTTACAAGTCAATTATTTTCAGCTAAAGTACTAAGATCAAATCAAGTTAAATTGGCTTCTTCTTACAGAAAAGTTTATTTTATATTATCAGTTTATGGGATTCCAAATGCTTCCTTTTAATACATGACAGCATTGAACATGAAATGAAAGTTTTTATTTAGTCAAATAAATGTGCTAAAACAATTAACTATCAGATTAAGAAGTAATTGTTGATAGTTAACTTGTAAAATTATAACAAAATTTTAAAACAATCAAACAACCTTCTTATTCTATATATGTTTTTGAGTATCGTTGATATGTGGTTGTATTGTTGTTTACCGAGTAGTAAATAACTGTGTTGGATCTATATCCTTATCTTTGTTAGTATTCGATCTAAATTAGCTCTATAACAAAACAAAACTAAACCATTGATCTTGTCTTGAGCATACTCTATTTAGGACAAATGTGTAGTAGACATGATTGAATCAACGTTTCGTGATGTTTCAGGTAGCACAAAACAAAACCATTAGAATAGAAACAAAAAGGAGCTTGACAATTGTTTACTGTTGCAGTAAATTCTTCAGAAATAAATTTATCTCATAATACAATTATCCTCATCGTCATTATAAGTGATGAGATACAATTCAACTATCAATAACTTTATTTAGACAATACCCAGTGTTCAAATAACTACTTAACTTAAAGATTATTTAGCTTAATTTTGTCAAGATTTTTGAGGATATTTTAAGAATATTTTGTAATGAATAATTAGAAGACGGGGACCTTTAACGAATGATTGTTAGTTGTAGGCATCTTGGAATATCTAATATGAAACACTAACTAATTTTCATCGCTTCTTCAACTAACATCAATTTATGGTGAAAGTTACCTTTCACAACAAAATTCACTTCAAAACTTTTAATTTCAAAATTGTCACGATCTCTTCAATAAAAGTTGTCTAATTATTAATTTTTAAAAAGATGAACAAATCACTTTCTTCATTCACACAATCTAATCAACTTGAACTTTGTCAATCACAAAATTAATAAGTAACTCTTACTTATTAATTACATGAGTTTATTTTTTCACTTATATTTTTATTTGACTCAATAATAATCTCAAATATTGATTAACCTGTAACTTAATCTATTTTAACCGTTGATATGGCCTAGTTTGTTTTTTTTTTAAAAGTAAATGAAAATACAAAGTTAAATCAATATTCATTTTAATATTGTTTATCACTAAGTGACTTATTTTTCTTTTTTTTTTACAAATTTTAAAAGAAAAACAAATCAATAATTATCAGAAGGGGTTTGTGGAGATTTTTAGAAATTTTCACAGATTGAAATCATGAGTCAGTTGAAGCCAGACCACCATTGAAAACCGTCCAGTGCTTCCAGGTTTTCAATGGTAGTCTAGCTTCAACTGACTCATGATTTCAATCTGTGAAAATCAACAATTACCAATATGATTACATAAAAGTTTACACTTATGTAATAAATCTATATTGTAATAATGATTATTAATAAATTAATTGAATAAATAAACAACAAAAAATTGTTTACAGATTAGGTTATTACTGATATTTTTCTTACCTTGATATATTTCATTAATTCCTTAGCATAATTCATTCGTGGACCACCACCATTACAATTACTTACAAACCATGCAATCATTTTAGTTTTACCATTAGAAAAATCTTTATCAAATTCAATTGAATGATTTAAATCTTTTGGTACCATATCTGAAAATGGTACATATTTATAATATGGTGTAACTATAGTTGAATCCACCGTATATGTAGCGGTAAAATTAATCTATAAGTAAAATTGAAAATTTATTTTATTTTGTTGAAATAGCAATAACGATTAGTGTATAAATATAAGAAGAGATAATCTAAAGTACCATTCAATAGGATTGATATCAATAATACTGTATGATATTAACAAGCTTACAACAGGTAATATAAAATTCAATGAATAAAAACCATATACCATACATTTACGTTATAATATCCCATTTCATATATCAGTTAACAACTAATATTCTTTAGCTTATTTTATACACATTATTGATATTATTTTGATGGAGTTTTGTTCTCTGAGCTGGATAGTTTAGTCGTCGAGCTTTTATTGTTCGTCTGGACGACATCATCAGGTAGAGGTCTGTGCTGATGACGTCATTCAGAAGAAGGGTGAAAGCTCCACGACCAAACCATCCAGCTTAGAGAACAAAACTCTGTCAAAATCATCCACCTGAGCTACAAATCTCCACCATCTCACAACCAAATATGTATTAGGATTTTACATTGAGGTATGATATATTGTGAAACAATTGACATAAGTGAATGTAAAGAATTGGAATAAGAAAGGTTATCAGTAATAACTACATACATGTGTGCAAGAACAGGTTGGAGGTCATTCGGTGTTAGAATCAAAAAAGCACGAGGGGTGGGTGGTGTAATAATCGAATGAAGTACAGAAATAAAACTAGTGACTGAAAATTGAATTACCAGGATAGTAATAAGTTTATTACTGTATCTTTTTGAATACATAGATCAGGTTTTTGGTCGTTAGGTTTATTTTGTTAATGTTTAGTTTGTTATATTTCTGTTTCATTACCGAATTTTTATTTTATGTACATTTAAACCACCCTCTTCACCCACACATTTCCACTCACTCAATTCTCTTAAATTATTTTAACTCATCAAATTTTGTTTAATTATTGCTCAAATCATCTTACCAGATTTTTAATTCCAGGAATCTTTTGCAAACCCTTTATTACTTCTAAAATTATTACACAATTTTTATTATCTGTCACTCGGTTATTAGATCATCCACCCCTAATGCTTTTTTTATTCTAACACCGAATGACCTCCAACCTGTTCTTGCACACATGTATATAGTTATTATTGATAACCTTTCTTATTCCAATTCTTTACATTCACTTATGTCAATTGTTTCACACTATATCTTACCTCAATGTAAAATTCTAATACATATTTGGTTATAAGCAGCTGATGAGATACCACGAAATATAAATAATTCATGTTATTCTGCATCCCTGTTCGTTCTAGCTCTATTTAATTTCATGTTTAGTCAGAAAAATACAATACGTAATACGGAAATAATATGCAAACGAAAAAGATATCCAAATTCCTTTTTGAAGATTGAAAGAACAAATACGGTAAAACGTGTAAGGAGACTTAACAATGTCTTTATTAACTTCGGTAAAATTAAAATATGACATACAGGTAATGTGATTTGAAGATGTTGCAGAGTTTTGTTAGTTCATTTATTGGAAATGTATTACTAAAGGAGTTAATAAACATCTTATATCATACTTTGTTTATTCAAGTATTTTTATTGACCCGAGATCAGACTCCATTTGGATAGTATGATGATTTGTAGTGTCTGTGCTTTGTTAAACAATCACCCTCGTAACCATTATCATATAATCCTCAACGGTGTTTGAAATCAGCTAGAACAAGTCATGTGGGCACTAAATAGCATTACATATTTTTACAAGTTTAAAAGTTTAAACATGCTAAAATTATATCGGATTAATATTAACCAAAAAAAGTTACATTAAGTAAATAAATAAATATAGTTATTGATACTCACCAATGGAAAATCTAAATTTTAATTCGACAGTATATTTCAGATTCATCTTTCTAACTCTGATTGTATGCATACATACAGATCTATTCAGATCTACAAATGAATTTCATGATACCAATCAAGCGATGGGACTATAATTTATGAACGACCTTTCAGCGACGCTAGAGTGACCTTGAGAGTGTCCACCTGATAACTGTGACCAATTGAGGGTTATAAATTAATGTGATGAATCCGAATTTTGATTTCCAGTTCATGATTAATGTTAGAAATTAGATTTAGGGTTTTCATCACGAACTAACAGCTATAATCCCAAGACTTTATTTAGCCAAATGGTTGAGTGAGTTTCGCGCCAAAATCCGTTACCCGTTATTTTATACTTGATTGGTTCGTCCATAAATTATAGTCTCGTCAAAAACGGTATTATTTTGTCAGTGGAAACGCATAGTTAGTATATGAATCTGAAATATTTACTCATAAGTGTCAATTCATCAGATGATTTTCAGTAAACAAAAAATAATTCTAGGAATAAACACTGATTTATTTCGTCACATGAAGTGAATGTAAATAAATAAAATGATTTTAATTGAATTAGTCTATAGGGAATATAAATGGTGAAAATCTATTCAGTCAGTAATGGTCGGATTAAAATTTAATGAACTGACATGAAACAATGCATAAATTTATTACTAACCAAGTTTTTGAACATAGGGAATGAAAAATGTCGTGGAGATTCAAGATGATAAAGCAGCCAAGATTGATTCTTTTGTTTCTTTAATCTACTAAGTTCTGCATCATTTTCAAAAACAACTAAGTCAGCTTGCTGAATCGTATGACTTACACTACATTCATACACAGGACAATGTGACAGATCGGGAAATGAATTAGAGGATTTACTTGGATAATAAATACGTTTCATAAGAATCCGTCCATTTTTACGTGCCTAAAATTAAGAAATAATGGTAGATAGGATGATAAAGCATGACAAATAAATAAGACCTATGACAATATAAATGGTTACGAATTCGAAAGCAACGGATAAAAATGACAGGTTAAGGAAATGTGTTAAAGAACATATAACTAATAGTCAAGTTGGTTTCAAACCTGGACCTGGACATACCGACCAGATATTCGCCCTTTGATAGGTCCTGGAAAACAAACATACTTCTCGACACCAGACTACAGATGTACTCCTTGACCTTAAGACAGTATTCAACTCAATTGGTCGAAATGTCTTCTGAGAGTGTCTATCATTTAAAGGCGTACCAAAGAATTACGTTGAACTTGTACAAACCTTTTTTCTGACACTAATGGTCGTATTAAAGCATATAGAGGCTGTTATCAAAATTGCCAACCTCAAATAGCGTTCTTCAGGGTTCTTCACTTTCTTCTTTCTTACTTGACTCTCTCATAAATATCCTTTCAAAGATAATGCTCTCATCGTCTAACATTTTATGGGTCGATGCGCTACTAGGGTATTCACTTTCTGACTTCGAATGGGCAGATGATATAGTGCTGTTTAGTGAAGATGCTGACAAAGCGCACAGTCTCCCGGCTACGTTAAGCAACAGTGTAGGCATATTTGGGATAATTTTTTTCCCTTGGAATGCAAAATGTTGCGTCAAGACTGGTTTATTTTAACGCCTGGACCAACAGTAGGAGGAAAAATAAATGAACACATCAACCACATCTTAGGAGTCTCATGAGTCCTGATGGGTTGGTGTTCGACGAAATATAGTCACAGACTGAAAAATGGAGCCTGGGCTTTCCCCCTTGTGTCACTGGCGGAGTAGGTGAGACATCCGTCTGCTAACCAAAGGACGAGTTTGCTCAACATTTGTTCGTTCCATTTTACACTATTGGTGCGAAAAATGACCATTAACAGTAGTGGTTTCAAAGTATCGCTTGTGTCTGTTGAGTTGAACATGGAACACTACATAAAGATAACAAACCGGTTGATGAGTTTATGAATCTTCATCGACAGAGGTGGTTGGCATATATGTTGGTTATGTCTGGTTTGGAAGTAGGCTGGAGGGAAAAAAGAGGCTAATAAACTGAATTGTGGTGTCAGTCTATGAGGTCACTAACTGTTGGACTCAGCCATATAGGTAGGTACAGACTACCTAGTTAATTTCCACGTAATTATTGCAACCATTATTTAGACCTTAGGTGATATAGCACATGATCTTTCATAATGAATCAGGTCCAGTCACTCTTTGTCTTTACTCAGACCACAGATTCTTAAATTGTCTTATCGTTCCTTTTCATTCGATAAATCCATGTTTTCTCCATGACGCTGTTATTGCTTCGCTTCTCCCGGAATTTGTTAGAATAATGTTATCTCACAGTTCTAGTGTGGTGCAGAAAATTAAATTGAAGCGCTTATATACTGGATTCTGTGTTGCACATAAGTGACTGATCAATAACCACTGTTTTAAGCATAAATTAGTCGACTTCAGTTTTCCCGAAAAGAAACATACTTTCTGGACAACGCATGTCAGATTGCCTTTAACAGTATATATCACTTGTTATTAGGGGTGTAAAAAGCCTTTGTTTACTACCATTAGCCAATTTGAATAAGATCTGACTAAAAACAGAAGTATTTTAGTTTTTTGACAACAAAATACATTATCAGTACAAAAATAATACTTATTATTCAAGTTTATTGCACTATACCAAACTATGTTCTATCATACTATCTGTATCATTAAGAATCTTTACTCAGGATATCAGTTAATTACTTGAATTTCCTAGTCAAGCAGTATTTTAACTAGTTGTTTTAGTGTTGGTCACTTGCTATTTTCCATCCACTCATCGACTTTTTATAGAAAGTTACTCATCTCTAAAATAATGCCTATCAAAATTTACTGGTTCATTCGATTTAGTAACTGCTTAGTCAAATAGAAACATTGTTCTTCAGTGCTGTATAAATTTGAACTAAATATGTTTCAATCTTTCGATTGTATGATATAAAAGATACAACTTCTATCAAATAACAGTGGTCTACTTATACTTTTAACACTCCATCTTTCACGATATTCACTTATTGCCATGAACGTTTCTGTCTTTGATTCATTTTAAATAACTACGAATGTCTACTAACCATGTGTTTGTGTGTGCTTTCAGAAAATGTATTAAACCCATCACCATTGTTATTACTGAGAAACTCGAGAATTACCATGACGGTGGTTCATATGTTTTCGTCTTTCTCTATTCTTTGAATAAACGAGAAGAAATCACTATAGAATTCGTGCATCAAATATATTTAGCAATGTAAAGAGATATCATGGCAGAAGTAATGAGCGTAATCGTTTATATGTGAATATGAATGGCAACTAATCCTTGTCTATAAATGCCTGAAATATTTTGTAAATTTTCACAAGCTAAATGTTTATAAGTCATAAACTTCATAGCAGTTTACATGCTTTATACTAATAATTATTTTCTGTAATCAAACCAAAGAAAATGAACACAACAAGTATTATTATTATCAGAAGGGGTTTTGTGGAGATTGTAGTAATTTCAATAGTGGAGATTATGAGTCAATTGAAGCTAGACCACCATGGAAAACATGGTGTATGGTGGCACAGTTTCATGGATTAGTTGGAAAACCCGGAAGCACTAGATGGCCGTTTCGTCCTATTGTGGAACTCCTCAGCAGTGCGCATCCACGATCCCGCTTCGCGAGATTCAAACCCAGGACCTATCAGTCTCGCACGCGAGCGCTTAACAACTAGACCACTGAGTCGGCATTCAACAGTGTCTAACGAAGTCTAACTTCAACTAATCCATGAAACTGCGCCACCATACACCATGTTTTTCATGGTGGTCTAGCTTCAATCGACTCGTGATTTCAACTATTGAAATTACTAACATCTCCACAAAAGCCCTTCTGATAATAATCATCTGCTCACTAGTGACTGGCTTCAAGAGGCATTTCCTGGAGTTCTAGTGAGAAGCAGTGACCAGTGGAGTTCAACCAGGTCTGTTATGAGATACCAAATCACTGAAGACAATGGTGTACGGTGGCGCAATTTCTTGAATTCGTTGAAGTTAGACATTAAAACTGTTGCATGCTGACCGGCTCAGTGGTTTAGAGGTTAAGCGTACACGCGCGAGACCGATAGGTTCTAGGTTCGAATCCGGTGGGGCGGGATCGTGGATGCGCACTGCTGAGGAGTCCCATACTAGGACGAAACGGCCGTCCAGTGCTTCCAGGTTTTCAATGGTGGTCTAGCTTCAACTGACTCATGATTTCAATCTATGAAAAAATCATTTATAAGGCAAACAGAATATTCATCACTATGATAAGAAACGTTTTCATAAGTTTTTACTTCTAATCTACGTACTTGTTATTTTTCTAGTGATACTAGCTAACTTTTTATAGTATTGTTCCTGTATACGAGGTGTGGTTGCGAACTTCACACTCAACTCTCGCTCTTTACATAGGCTTCGGACATGCAGAAACCTTAGTTGAGATGGAGTTTTTTTTAACAACACTACTTATCATAAATAGTTTGTGAAGACTGTTTTAAAAGAAAAAGTAACACGTTATGTAAGTTTTTGCATGTTGTTCTTTACATCACGGGAAACAGTAATAACAAATTAATTATTAATACCTTTATAATTTCACATAGCCTGTAACTATTTTGACACTAATATTTAGTTTTTTTACAAGGGATATATTTCCTGTCAATTGTATAGAGTAAAATATTTCATAATATTGTATGAGTGCAAATTGTTTACCAGGTACAATACATGTTCATAAAACAAACTAATAAATCATTAAGCTTTAACTAAAATCATTGATCAGTAACGTTTACAACCAGTTTCATTAGCTTTCATTTGGAGCTGTTACAAAAGAATGAAGGGAAATTCAAAATATGGTCACTAGTGAAGAAAATGCATTCGTAGACATACAAAACCATTGCTCTATGGATTTTCTTTCACTCTGAAAACATCCTTAATTCAATGAAAATTGTTGCATTCGCAGCTTAACATTTTGATGACATATTTAAACTAAGTTTAATGAACATAAAAAACTCTGACGCTTTGAAAAGCTACCTAAGTCAATAAACTTTCCGAAAACTTTCGAGAGGTAAACGATAATCTGTAGTTCAATCACCATGGTCCCAAATGTAGCAAAACCTGGATTTTAAAAACTACACTCTGAAACTTGGAATCAATCAAGTTAGTAGTATACTTAAAGCCAAGACTTTTCACTTATTTTGTCAAAAGTTCCTACCTTAATTTTCGTCAATCAGTTAATTAATCGGTTAATAATTTGAATGAATAGTCGCACTGTGTTGGAGAGACCCAGAAAATTCCTCAAAAAAAAGCCCAAAGAGGCCCCCTAAAATGCTGGAAACATTTCAATGTATCAGCATTGAATAAAAGTATCTCAGAAACATCTAGAAAGTGAAGATTCACGTGTTATATTTCTGATTGGATGATTACCTGTTCAGCTATAGTCTTTTGAAGGTTTCCAAAACTCTCCAGAAACCAAAGACCTTCTGAAATGCTTTAAATACCCTAAATTTTCTGCACACAGACTAACCTTGGGGTGAAGCGTTCTTCTCATATTTCGCGTATTTACTCTCGTGTTCACGTTGCCGTGTAGATTTAACCTGGGAGTTACTAGAATAGCCTAGGAAACTGAATCAAGCGTCCAGTCAAAAGATTCATCACACTGATCATAAAATATTCTGATAATATTTCTGTAAAAAGGTATTAATACAAATTGTATTAGTGATAGATCTTTTGCTCTAACTATATTAATAACTTTTTAAAAACAATGACGACTTTAACCAATCACTATTGGTGTCAATATATAACCCATTTTCTCCTTATTTTATTGATTAAATTTGTTATAGAAAAATTACTGGAATTATTCTTGATACCTTTGCATAGTCCTATATAAAACATAAAACTCGTTAAATTTGA